TAATATTCCATTGTGTAAATACAAAATAACAAAATTCTAAAAGAACAAAAAATATAATGTAAATATTTCTGCTACCTCCAACCCTCAATGCTACAAACCCTCTCCTGATATTACCACTTACCTGTCTGTTGTACATCCTTGCAGAGATTTGCAACTAAATATACAATATCTTTATAATACTGATTGTTTTCTTTGCAGTTATACACCTTATTTTATTTTTTTAAAGATTTATTTATTCATTTTTAGAGAGAGGGGAAGGAAAGGAGAGAGGGAGAGAAATATCAATGTGTGGTTGCCTCTCACATGGCCCCCACTGGGGACCTGGCCTGCAACCCAGGCATGTGCCCTGACTGGGAATGGAACCCTGACCCTTTCGTTCATAGGCCCACGCTCAATACACTGAGCTACACCAGCCAGGCAGCATACACCTTATTCTAAATTGAAAATACACTCCACCCCAACCCATATATCACACTGAAACTACATTCCCTCCCGCCCCTCCCACTCTGTAAGTGAAACACGTGCGTGAATTTACGTTCAGCACTTTCACTACCTAGCTATACACTGATAGATAACATTTCTTATTGTTTACAAGTTTTTAAACATTATATAAAAGATACTCTACATATTTCATACACAACTGCTTTTTTGGTATCATGCTTCTATTATTCTTACTGACAAAATTACCCATTCTGATCACACTTACCTTTATATAAAATCTTCCCTTGTGCTCCACCACTACAGCCAATGCTCTCACATGATACCCAACCCATCAACGACTTCTGTGATTTTTGTCCCTAAGTCTGCCTTTTCTGTAATGTCATAAAGTGGATTCATATAGTAACTTTTGAATTTGACTTCTTTCATTTAATTCAATGCTTTTGAGATTCCTTCACATTATCACATGTATCAATCCATTCCTTTATATCACTGAGTAGTGTTCCACTGTACGGATATCCCATAACTCTACATCCATTCATTAGCTGATGGACATTTGGGTTGTTTCCAGTTTGGGGTAATTAAAAAGCTTCTATAAACATCTGTATTCATGTAACTTTGTGGAAATATACCTTCACTTCTCCGAAATAAATACCAAGGGGTCTAGTTATCATATGTCACTACACCAAAGAGTAGAATTTCTTTAAGGAGCTGATTCCTATGGTATATATGTATTTATGTACTGTATGTAAATATATATTTTATAGTTATAGACATTATAAAGAAGCTGACAAACTTGTCTCAATTTATATAACCTTAAAGCATCTGTATAAAACACTGTTGGTAACTAATTGGTAAAATATTATTATCTATATTCCCTTATATTATATTCCATGACTTATTTATCTCATAACTGGAAGTTTGGACTTTGTAATCCCCTTCACCCAGTCTGCCTACCTCACCTCTGAACCTCCTGAACACCATCTGTTGTCTGTATCTACAAGACTGTTTTTTTTTTTTCTTGTAGATTCCGCACATAAGTGAAATCATAGGGTATTTGTTAAGACTGGTTTTGTTTTTTTTTTTCTGGTAGATTCCACACGTAAGTGAAATCATATGGTATCTGTCTTTCTTTCTCTTATTTCACTTATCACAGTACCCTCAAGGTGCATCCATTTTATTGTAAATGGCAAGACTTCATTAGTGTTTCATGGCTAAGTAATATCTCACTGTTTATATATACCACACCTTTTTCCCCATTCATGTATCGATGCACACTTACATTGCTTCCATAACTTGGCTATTGTAAGTAATGCTGCAATGAACATAGGGGTGCACATGTTTTCTCAAATTAGTGTTTTCATTTTATTTGGATATATATATATATAGAAGTAGATCATATGGTAGTTGTTGTTTGCATATCTATTATCAACACTACATTTTTACTCCCATGTTTTAGATGCCAAATGTCACATCTTCCTATCTTGTATATCCCTTAATTATTGTAGTTATGATTCATTCTACTATTTTTGTCTTTTGACCTTCATACTAGATTTATATGTGGTTGATCCACTACCTTCTTTATATATTTTCTTTTACATGGTAGAATTTCCTTTATATATTTTATTTCTAGTTATGACATTTTTTTAAAGTGCAATAAAGTCCCTTTAAGATTTCTTGCAAGGTTGGTTTAGGGGTGATGAACTCCTTTAGCTTTTGTTTGTCTGGGAAACTTCCTTCTTCAATTCTGAATGATAACCTTGCCAGGTAGAATATTCTTAGTTGGAGGTTTATTTCCTGTCAGCACTCTGACTATATCATGCCAATCCCTTCTGGCTTGCATAGTTTCTACTGAAAAAAACCGACAGCAGTCTTAGGAGCTTCCCCTTATATGTAACTGCTATTTTCTTGCTGCTTTTAAGACTCTCTCTTTATATTTCACTGTGACTTTAAATTATAATGTGTCTTGGTGTGGATCTCTTTGAGCTCATCTTATTTGGGACTCTGTGCACCCTCAACAAGGACATCTGTTCCCTCCCCCAGGATAAGTCTTCAGCCATTATTTCTTGAAATAAATTTTCTGCCCTTTTCCTTTTCTCTCCTTCTGGGATCCCTATAATATGAATGTCCATAAGCCTGACGCTGTCCCAGAGGTCCCTTAAAACTCCTCATCTTAAAAAAATTTTTTTCTATTTTTGTTGTTTTGTTTGGGTAATTGCCACAGCCATGTCATTCAGGTCACTGATCCAGTCTTCCATATCCTCCAATGTGCTGCTGATTCCCTCTTGAGTATTTTTCTGTTCACGTTTTTTTATTTTCATCTCTGCAGGTACTATTTGGTCCTGTCTTATATTTTCTATTTCTTTAACGAAGTTCTCAACATGTTCATCCATTCTTCCTCCTAGTTGTGAGCACATTTATGACCATTCCTTTGAACTCTTTATCAGGTAAAATACCTGTTTCATGGAGGTTTCTTTCTGGATTTCACCTTGTTCCTTCACTTGGAACACCTTTTCCTGATTTTGTGATGCTTCCTGTGTTTGTTTCTGTACACTGTACTAAACAGCAATCTCTCATGTCGTGAAGACATGGCTATATATACAAAAGATGAATGTTACCATTTAACCTTGCCCTAGCTCTTAGCTGTCTCCCAAGCTCTCTCTCTGGTTATTTCAGACCTGTTATTTCCAGAAATGCAGCCTCCCATGGCAGCCTGACCCTGGTGCTCAGTGGGCATCGCGTGTCCTCTTCGTGTGCCCCTGGCTCTAGCAGGCTCCAGTGAGCTGTGTTGAAGGCTGGAGCTGCTTGCCAACCAAGTCTGTCAGGTTGGACGAATGATATGGGGTGAGGGTAGTGATGTTTGCCTGCCTCTGTTAGCAGGTTAAAAGGGGGTGTAAAGTTGTACCCATTTGCACTGATGTCAGAAAGGTAGAAGGAGCTGGTAAAAATGGTGGCTGCCAGTGTACCATTCCTGGAGAAAACCCAGACGTCTGCCTCCTGGAAGATGCTGCAAGCCTAACAAAGGTATATTCTTTCACCGACGGTCCAGGCTCCCCTCAAACTGTGGCTTTTTGTGCTGTGTCCCTGGGAAAGTGGGTCTGTGCATGAGCCCTTTAAGAGTGGAATCTTTGTTCCCTGCAGTCCTGTGTTTGTCCCGAGTGTGAGCGTGGTTTTCAAAACCAAGTATCTTGGGGACCCATCTTTCTAGTGCAGGAGCTGAGGGCTAGTGTAACTATGTGGGGTACAGAATCTCTGCTCCTGAAGAAGAAAATTTATTTATGTATGTTTTTTCTTTATGTTCTTAGGTCCCTCCCACCCCCAATAGTGGGCCACTGTACCAGGGGAGGGATTTTGGGCAAGAGTATGTCTCTGCCACTTCTCAAGTTCTTTTCACAGGAAATTGTTCCATTTATAGTTGTGTATTGTTGAAGTGATTTCAGGGTCTTTCTAGGCAAATTTTGGTGGAGTAAGGCCCAGAGTATTTATGTTCTCACTAGTATCAAGGAGAGGTCCAGAAGCAACACAGGTCAAACCTGACTCAGAGAAGCAGAATGGCTTCCCCATGCTACCTTTTTACATATCACTCAAGGCTTCCCACATATAATGGCATTTTTTGTTCTTTACTCTAACTCTTCAGTCATATGCCACCCTCTGCTCAACTCCTGCCCAAGGTAAAAATGCAAGAAACTAGTTGCTGTACTTCCGATAATTATGCACGTCATTTATATTCAGTTTTGTTCCATATAATGTTATTGGCACGACAGAGTCTTGTAACTGGGAGTCATGTGTGTATTTTGTTCTAGTAAGAAGGACAACTGGGAGTCATGACTACGTTTAGTCTTAGGTGGGTCTTCTTCTTCTCCAGGTCATGTTTAAACTGTGTTACTGGTGTATCTCTCCCTAATAGTAACGAGAATATAAATGTTCTGCTACTTATTCCACCAAAAGTTGCCTTAACTTTTTGCCTTAAAACATTTGTCTTAACTAAGATGGCCTCCTAAATTCAATAATTTTACTATTGTCACAAAAATATTCCTAAGCATATAAAATCATAATTATACATTTAACACTAAAAAACTTTATAAACTTATCAAAAATTTTTATTAAATCTAAGATGTTACAGATTTTCAAACACACTGTAATTTTATGCAGGAAAAATTGAGCCAATTATACTTCTAAGATATCATCTATTGTAACGAGCATATAGCAATGTTACAGTATGAAATGACAGTAACCCAATATATTTCCCTCCTCCAAAACAATAAAATTCTCTTGGAATTCACCTGGAATTCCAGGTGAAATAATGAAATCAAATAATCATTCCATAACAGTTATTGATAATAATAGAAGCTTACAATATAATTGGTATGTGCTTTATGTATCTTCAGTATCTCTCAGTATACCTTAAAATATTTTGGTAACATCTTTCTTCTTCCTGTTTCCATTGAGATATAATTAACATATAACACTATATTAGTTGAAAAGTATAGGGATTTAATGAATATAAATATTGCAAAATGGTTACCACAATAAGTTTAGTTAATATTCATTCTCTTATGCAGTTAGAATTTTCTTCTTGTGATGCTAAGATCTACTCTCTTGGCAACTTTCAAATACACGCCGCTGTACTGTTCACTTCAGGTACCGTGCCTCTACATCACATCCCCAGAACTACTGGTGGTAAGTGACTGAAAAAAAGGTTGGTTAACTGTGTTAGGTTAGTCATGTAATTAAATGGTTAATTGTTCCTAAATGATATATCTTAAATGATGCCACCTAAATGGGACAAGGGTATGCATTGCCAGTGCATTAGAAATGAACTATGCTGTTTCTTTAGAGTTTCTCCTGGTCATTTAATATGACGGGCAAAGAAAGACTGCTGTATTCATATCACTGACCACTAGTTTGGATTTTGTGGAGAAACCACTTTTATCTTACTTTAAAATCTTGTTATGTTTGTCTTGAATGTGTTTTTAATGGCAATAGTTTTATATAGTTAAGCCTTCTTTGGTAACTCCAAGACCATTAATGGAACTATTTTTATCAGAGAACAGAGGCATTTGATCTTATGTGTGATATCTGCTAAATAAAGAAACATACAGTACAAATTAAAGCAGAGAACAAAGCAATTTTAGGCCTGAATAGGATCTTAGAGGTAATACAGTCCCCTACTTTAATAGATGAGAAAATTGTTACTAATGCATCATGTTTAGAGAAACATTTGGAAATCCCCCAAGGTTTCTCAGCTGGTTAAAATGGAAAGTAGGAACTAGAATACAAGTACCCAAAAAACACTGCTTACTCTACTATATGAGGCTGCATTTCATATGGTATTATTTAATATGTATGTTAGTTCTTTTAACATAATTGTCTTACAGAGTAACTATATAGACTATATTATTAAACATATCTATAACATATCTAATTAGATATTTTCAAACAGTAGGACTAACTAGACAATTGTTCAAACAATATAACTCTTGCCATCCTACTATTTGTCTTTTTAGCCTCAGAAGCAGGTTAAGAACCTAGGAGAGAAACATAACTAAGTATCTTACAAAGGCTATCTAAAAATACTAAAAGCTAGTATCAGAGGAATAAAAATAACCGCATTTCAATTACACCTCCCCTTCACAGAAAGACTTGGAATCCTTACCACAATGTATTACCAAAGTATATTGTATTGGTCTTTAAAAGTGACCCTTAAAGGTTACTTTTTGTCCTCATCCCGTGCCTCCCAGACAGGGATGATCATACTCCTGACTCAAAAGCAGTCATAGATGTACTGTCTAGTGATTTAATGACATGAGAAAAAACAGTTTAGAATAGAAGAAGAAATAAAATATTCATAATTTTTACGAATATTGTCAGGAAATGATCCATGGGCAGTAAGCAGAAGCTATGAAACAGAGCACGGAAGAGTCGAGACAAGTGTGGCAGAAAGAGTACAGTGCAATGATTAAAAGCAAACTTTGGTTTGACTAGCAGAAAACTGAGGTTTGGGCTTCTAAAACTCAATTTTCTCATTTGTAATATAGAGATGATAATACCTATCTCACAAGTTTATTAAGCAAGGATAAAATAAGATAACTTACAGGCACATCAAAGTGAATAAATATGTAAGCTGTGTAGTAGACAGACACAATTGAACCTTTCATGTTAAGTCACTGTGGAAACTGATGTGAGTAAGGAATAATATTGTACCCAGTAACATGTGAGTAAGGAAGAAGGGATTAGGCTTAAAGTGCAAGCTAAAGCCATGTGGCAGTCTAGAGCAGGGTCATGAAGGGCCAGATAGTAAATAGTTTAGACCTGTGAGCTACAGTCTCCATTGCAACTACCAATGGTTGTAGATGAAGGCAGTGTAACCTGTAAATGAGCAGGCGTAGCTGTGTGCTAATAAAACATTATTTACAAAAACAGGCCGCTGGCCCAGAGGCCATCGTCTGCAGGATATGGATCTGGATTATCATAAACTACGGGTATGTATAAAGCCCAGAATACCTCTGTTATCTTCACATGTTTTGGATATGAGTTACCTAAAAAAGTAAAAAATGGAAATGCAGACCACATTTTCAAAATATACGTTCTGTGTAAAATGAACATGTTCTGATATGTTTTTTGTTTTAACAAAACAAAATATCTGAAATTCACACTGTTCTAGAACAGTTCCTTCAGGACATTTAATCACTGAAAGGAAAAAGTTCGTTGTGGCAGTGTGACCATGTGCCGGCCTGGTAGCACTGAACTGTGACAGGAAACCATCTTGTCAGGAAGGCATGATTTCACCTACTATATACAAAGCAAAACAAATTTTAAAACCTGTAGCTTTAAATTGTTAATTTAGTTTTAGTTAATCTGATGTTAATAGTTTGAACAACACTCTGTTTATTAGTATTCACCTGGCATTTCTTCTACATATCCTTTTGATTTCAATCTTTTTATGACTAAGTTTAGATACGATTAAAATTAGCATATCATATTTTTTCCAGTCTAACAATTTTATAAAAAATTGAATCAATTGAGGTGCTATTGGTTAATAAAACCAAACAGGTTTCAAGTGTACAACCCAATAAAATATGATCTGCACACTACATCATGTGCTCACCACCCAAAGTCAAGTTTCCACCCACCACCTTTTATCCCCCATTGTCCATCTTCCACCTCCCCCCATGCTCCTTTCCCTCTGGCAACTACCTTACTGTGGTCTGTCTGGGTTTTTTGGGTCTAATTCCTTAACCTTTTTCACCCAGTCCCCCAAACCACCTCTAACAGCTGTTAGTCTGTTCTCTGTATCTATAAGTCAATTTTGTTAGTTTATTTTGCACATTAGTTTCCACATATAAGTGAAATCATATGGCATTTTGTCTTTTTCTGACTCCATTCTAATACTTTTTGTCAAGACTATACTTTCAGGGATCATTTCTATAGTTCCTTACTAATACGCTTTGTCTTTTAACTGGAGCTTTTGATCCTTTCTCATTTAATGTAATCACCAACAAATTTGGGATTATATATCTAATCTTATATGTTTTCTATTTATCCCACTAGTTACACTACTTTTGTAGTTTTAAATAATGCTTTATTGCTATCTTTTGGGTTATTTTATAGTCATCCCATTTCTCACTCTTCAATTGTTAATGCTATACGTTATATTCTTTTAACGGTTATCTAAAAAATTATAACATATAAGACTAACACAAAAATCTAATAAATAGGACTTCTGGCCAACATAGAGGCATAGGTGGAAATACTGTGCCTCCTCACACAACCAAATTTAAGAACAACAAAGATTTAGAAACAAAAACACAACCAGGACAGAAAATTGAACTATACCGAAGTCCGACAACAACGCACCATTCATCCAGACCATTAAGAGTGGAATCTGTGGCCAGCAGAGAGGGGTCCCAGCAGGAAAAGGCAGTGGTTGGCGACCCAGGCCCAGGGAGGAAACGAGCAAACCCAGTGAGGCTCTTAAGGTGGCTGGCTGACTGCAGACATACATTTGCAAGTAGATAAACCAGGCCCAAAACAGGTAGTGAGACAAACTGTGCAACCCAGGGCCTCAGCAGCAGAAAATAAAGCCTAAAAGCACCAATTAAAAAAACCTGTGGGGGTTGAGCTACCGGGAGAAACTCCCAGCCTCACAGGAGAGTTCGTTGGAGAGACCCACTGGGTCCTAGAACATACACAAGCCCACCCACCCAGGAACCAGCACCAGAAGGGCAAAATATGCTTGTGGGAAGTGGCAGAGGGGACTGAAATCTGAGAGCAGGGAACAAGTGCCATTGCTTCTTCTCAGACCTCGATCCCATATATAGTGTCACAACCCAGCGACTGGGTTGCCCTGCCCTGGTGAACACCTAAGGCTCTGCCCCTCATATGTAGCAAGACAAACCCCACAACCCAGGGCTCCAGCGAGAAGAAATAAGGCTTAAAAGTACTGATTGAAAAGGTGCCAGTTTGTGAGAAGCAGCAGAGGGGACTGAAATCCGAGAGAGCACGAAACAAGCACCATTGCTGCCTCTCAGACCCTGCCCCCACATACAGTTTCACAACCCAGTGACTGGGTTGCCCTGCCCTGGTGAACACCTAAGGCTCCGCCCCTCATACCTAACAGGCCAGACCTGATCAAAAATGGCTCAATCAGAAGAAGAAATCAAAGCCCCAGAGCCAATACTTTTAAGCGACCAAGAGATAGCCAACCTATCAGATGCATAGCCTAAAACACTGGTGATCAAGATGCTCACAGAACTGGTTGATTTTGGTTGCAAATTAGATGAAAAAATGTATGCTAAGTGAAATAAAGAAAAATGGACAGGAAACCAATAGTGATGGGAAGGAAACCGGGAATCAAATCAACAATGTGGACCAGAAGGAAGAAAGAAAGATCCAACCAGAAAAGAATGAAGAAACAAGCATTTAAAAAAATGAGAAGCTTAGGAACCTCCAGGACATCTCTAAACATTCCAACATCCAAATTATAGGGGTACCAGAAGGGGAAGAGGAAGAGCAACAAGTGGAAAGCTTATTTGAACAAACAATAAAGGAGAACTTACCCAATCTGGCAAAGGAAATATACTTCCAGGAAGTCCAGGAAGCTCAAAGAGTCCCAAAGGAGTTGGTCCCAAGGAGGAACATACCAAGGTACATCATAATTACACTGCCCTAAATTAAAATGAATGAGAGAACTGTAGAAGCAGCAAGAGCTAAGGGGACAGTCACCTACAAAGGAGTCCCCATCAGACTGTCAGCTGATTTCTCAAAAGAGACCTTACAGGCAAGAAGGGGCTGGAAAGAAGTATTCCAAGTCATGAAATGCAAGGACCTACATCCAAGATTGCTCTATCCAGCAAAGCTTTCATTTAGAAAGGAAGGGCAGATAAAGAGTTTCTCAGATAATGTCAAGTTCAAGGAGTTCATCATCCCCAAGCACTTATTATATGAAATATTAAAGGGACTTATCTAAGAAAAAGAAGATAAAAAATATGAACAGTGGAAGGGCAGCAAACTCACAGTTATTAAGAACCACACCTAAAACAAAAGCAACCTAAGAGGACCTAAAACAGAAGCAGAGTCACAGAAATGGTGACCACATGGAAGGTTAGCAACAGGATGGTGGGAGGAGGAAAGGGGGGGAGAGAAAGCACACAAAATAAGTAGTATAGACAGTGGGGAGAAAATAGGGGGAGGGCAAGAGTAGTGTGGGAAATGTAGAAGCTAAAGAACTTATGACACACAGACATGAACTAAAGGGGGGGAATGTGGGTGGGAGAGGGTGTGCAGGGTGGAGAGGAATGAACCAGTATTTCTCCCGAGAAATGGGACAACTGTAATGGCATAGTCAATAAAATATATAAAAAATAAACAAACAATAAAAATAAAAAATGATTTAAAAGATAATGTGCATGGAGGGACTTCTGGTCCCGATGAGGTGCAGGTAAACATAAACAGGCTCCTCACACAGCCACAGCAAAAATTACAATTAAACTGCAAAGTAACTATCACTCAGAATCATTAGAAAACTGAGCTGTATGGGACTCTGACAACCAAGGACTTAAAGAAGTCTCATTCATCCAGATGAGTACAAGGGGCCGAGCTGTAGACAGTGGGAACACGTTGGCCCACCCACATATAGTGGATAAAAGTCAGGAGCGATACATCAGGAGTGAGAGATCACATCCCCATACCAGACCACCCAGCCCAGAATTCCAGTACCAGGAAGAAAAGTCTCCTGTAAAAACCAGTAGGGGCTGGGGTGGCAGGAGAAACTGCAGGATTCCCAGGCTTCTCCTCTTAAAAGGCTGAAATGGACTTAAGACTTGTTCAGACTCACTCCCTCTAGGCTCCAGCACCCAGGCAGCAGCTGAAAGGGCACCAGTGGCATATAGGGAGAAGTTTATGTATCTGAAATCAGGGCAATGCCAGGGGACAGCTTCCTCCTGGACAAAACCCCCGAGACCAATGTGTCCAGAGCCCTTCCACACACAGAATCACAGAACAGAGACACCATATCCAAGATTCCATCAACCTGGTTTACATGGTTGCCCTGCCCTAGTGATTACTTAAGGTTCCAACCCATCCAACTTACAGCTGTGCTTTTCCACAACGGGCCACCTTACTAAGACAGAGAGTCAAAGCAGCTCTACCTAATACACAGAAACAAAACAGAGAGGCTGCCAAAGTGAGGACACAAGGAAATATGGCCCAAATGAAAGAACAGAACAAACTCCAGAAAAACAAAACAAAATAAAATGAAGATAAGCAATCTATCAGATGCCAAGTTCAAAATACTGGTTACTAGGATGTTCAAGAAACTCATTTGGAGACTTCTGGCCAAGATGGAGGTATAGGTAGATACACTTTTCCTACTCCCACAACCAGAGGAAGGACAACAAATTTAAAAACAAAAAAATAACCAGAACTACTGGAAAAATCCAACTGTAGGGAAGTCCAACAACCAAGGAGTTAAACAAGAAACATTATTCCAGACCAGTAGGAGGAGTGGAGATGGGCAGCTAAGGTAGAGAGAACTCCCAGCAAGGTGGAGGGGAAAGGACCTGGGCAGGAGAGGCTGCCACTGGCAGGGCAGGCAGTCCCAGGTTTGTGTGTAGATAAACTGGAAGAAACACTGGGGAGTGAGACAGACCACGCAACCCAGGATTCCAGCACAGGGAAAGAAACTCTTAGCCTCACAGGAGAGTTCATTGGAGAGACCAACAGGGCCCTAGAATGTACACAAAACTACCTATCCGGGAATCAGCACCAGCAAGGCCCAATTTGCTTGTGTGTAGCAGAGGAAGTGACTGAAAGCCCGCAGAGACCTAGCAAGTGACATTATTCCCTCTCAGACCCCTACCCCATATACAATGCCACAATGCAGCCACATGGGTTGCCCTATAGTGGTGAATACGTAAGGCTCTGCCCCTTACTACGTATCAGCTGGGTCAAGACAAAAAAAATATGGCCCAAATGAAAGAAT